TATATATATATAAAGTAAATAAGTTTTCCAAAATTCTAATTTTCACTTAAGTGTTTGAATTTTATCATTGGTGAGAAAAACTACCAGTTGTTTTCCTTTATTTTCAGGAAAATGATCATTGGATAGTCAGGTCTGAATTACCATAGTTTGTCAGTGTTTTTTTTTTTTTCAAGTAAAAAATACAGTTCCACGAGAATAAAGTTTGCTCAGCTTGCAATTCAGACAACTATCCTACTTCGGTATGCAGCAGAAATGTTTCATGCTTACATCCATGAGTCACAGAGAACATTAAAAAAATATATATTCAAGGGTTGGGCTTAATACAATTAATCATTTTTATTACATCATCAATGATATCCTTAGGTGAAACTGGCATTTACAGCAAGTGTGTGGCAGTGAAGAACACAATGATTAATATAGCTTGGTGCCACTGCCCTGACAAATGCATGCTTGCAGGGCCAGTAGTTTCACAAACCATGTATTTTGACCATTGGTACAAAGTCAACCCCGTGAAAAAGACAAATCTTAGCATGATTATAAGAATAATTTTGCTTACAGACCTTCCAAAAGAGTCTTAGGGACCCCCTCAAGGGTCCTGAATCACACTCTGAGAATCACTGGTATACACAGGGTACTATTTTATTTATTTTTTTTGAGATGGCGTTTTGCTCTTGTTGCTCAGGCTGGAGTGCAATGGTGCAATCTCGGCTCACTGCAACCTCCTCCCAGGTTCAAGCGATTCTCCTGCCTCAGCCTCCTGAGTAGCTGGGATTACAGGCATGTACCACAACTCCTGGCTATTTTGTATTTTTAGTAGAGACGGGGTTTCTCCGTATTGGTCAGGCTAGTCTCCAACTCCCAACGGCAGGTGATCTGCCTGCCTCGGCCTCCCAAAGTCCTTAGATTACAGGTGTGAGCCACCGCACCCAGCTAGTATGGTACTATTCTTGTTGGAGTAAGGGGCAACACTTAAAGACATGTAGTCCGTGTAGAGGGACAAAGAAAAAGGTGTGCAAGGACACATATCAAACTGTTAATGCTGGTTACCTTAAGAGAGAAATTTAACTTCTTTATATACATATGTTTTGTTGTAGCTCTCTTATTTTAAGTATTACTTTTGTAAAAATAAAGGAAAAAAGATTTTTAAGGCCAGGTGCGGCAGTTCACACCTGTAATCCCAGCAATTTGGGAGGCTGAAGTGGGCGGATCACACAGCCTGGCCAACATGGCAAAACCCCGCCTCTACTAAAAATACAAAGATTGGCAAGGCACGGTGGCTCACACCCGTAATCCCAGCACTTTGGGGGGCTGAGGCAGG